CAACAGACAATAATATAAGGATACTTGAAGGAACCGCAAACCCAAAGAACCGTTGTTAACATCTTAATATGTATTTATAAAGGGGTCATATGGAAAACAAGAAATAAAATTAAAATATGAGAATTTGAAAATAACTGATTTCAATATTAAAAATGGATTCAAAAATGAAAAGAAATCGATTTTTTTACTATTACAATCACATGATTTGACAGATTTCAAAAGAAAATAAATCATATGTTTCAAAATTCTTTTTGATTTTAATACTAGTTATAGTGTTATTGTCAGTATCTACTATATATACATGTATTATAATTTTTTTAATCCATTATAAGACACATCAGTTTTTTTGCTATGTTATTTTTCATGTAACTGGAAATTTTATGTTTTAAATATGTTTAAGATGAATAAGTTAAAAGATCATCAAATGAAAATGTAATGCTAGATTCAAACTTTATATGTGAGGAAAAAAATATTTATGTCTTTGTAAAATTCATTCTTTCTGATGTGTTTTTTTTTTATAATCTCATTTTATTATCACAAAACTCTACATATTGATCTTGTTTATAAGTTGTGAAACATAACAGGGTGATCTGGCCCTAAACACTAGTTACAATGAGATTGATATAGATACTTCTTTCTTTTTTTCACAGAATCTCCTCTGCAACAAGGGTCATACTTCTATTGGTGTTAAACGTATACTTTGTCATTATATATAAAAATGGTACAAATTTGTTTTGAGATATTTATGTATATGTATGAAAATGAAGGGTCACTAATTATATATTAGTATAATGTGAAAAAATTCTGTGTTCAAATATTGGAGATACGTATATGATCACTGTTGTATTGTACATTATTGAATAAATTATTTGAAAGAAAAAAATAAATATGATTCTATGTTTCAGATAAAAATGTGCTTAATATAAAACAGTTGACAATATGTGTACAGACACGGAATGATTATGAGGAATGTAAGAAATACATTCATTAAACTTAACAAATAAATAAACTGGTTGTCTGTTTTTAGATTCAAGTTGTAATAAATATTTTGAAAACATAATGTACCTGTTTCCCCTGAAAATAGCCGAACTTAGTGTTGCTTAGAGAGAAAATAAATCTCACCTTAATTTAACTTTCGGTTTGTATTTTTCCTGTTCTCTATTTCTGGCAAGTAATGACTCACCAATGACCCTATTTTTAGCAATATCGACGTCTTAAAACACAGATCACATTACCTCTTTATCAAGGGGTGTGATTTAAATTTTGACTCAATATACCAAAATGAGCACATCGGATTATTTCCACTACTAGTTATTATTAAGGTTTAAATAGATACTAATTTACATTTAAAATCGAAAACTAAAGTGAAAAGTGTATAAATAAATGGGAATTATCATGCTTCGCAGTGCTTTGCTTAGATCTGAAAATAATAGTTGTAAATGTCAGGAGGCTGGTACCTTAAAATATGAGTGAATGAATTGAATTGTACACTGTAGTCACTCCGATTTAGAGCTGTTACCTTATAAAAAAAATTATTCATAATTCAAACCCAGATCAAAAGTTCTACATGAAATATTCATAAACATACCTTGCTCCTAGATTATAATATCATCTTAACTTCACTAATTTTTTACTTTTTTTACATTCATGTACGCATTTGGCAAGGTTTATTCATTATCATTTGGTTAATGATCAATAGATTTGTTTTATTAAAAGATTTACTTAATTATAGTTTATGAGATATTTAATTTACTCCAAACTAAATATCAAGTTTTAAACGATTAGAAACAGATCTCTGACTGAAGCCTTCACAGAAAGTATATCTGAATGGAATACATGTAGTAAAACTGTGTCCCGCCTGAATGGACATCTCTTACCAAACAATGCAAACAGACAAATACGATTGATGATAATATAAAATACCCTTATTTATACATGAACGGATTCTTATATATCTACTGTAACTGTAAAATTAATGAATTAAAAAATATACTACCACACTATCTCTAAGCAGTAGGACCTCTTCAGTTTTGTTTTCCTGAATTCTATGTGATCTTTAGATAAACAGAAGTTTATGCTTAATATTAATAGTAGAACAGTATGTGTACAGACACATAGATTGGGAAGGGTTATAAGGAATGTAAGGGATACATATATTGAATGTAGCAAAATGAAAAAAGTTGTGATTATCAATTTAGATTCAAACTTAATAAATATTTTGGAACAAAGGTACATTGTTCCGTGGGAAAAAAACGAACTTATTCTTATTTAGAGTGATTTAAAATTTCTCATCTTAATATAAAAATTCGTTTTGAATGTTTTTTCCTACATTATATTTTTGGTATTCATTGACTCCTTAATGTCCCTATTTTTAGCAATATCGACATCTTAAAACATAGATCATTTATTTCTTTATCTTCCAAATAATACCTCAAAATGGATAAAATAAAATGCGAGAAATGATTATATGCAATAAAAGAAAAAGGATTTTAAGAATTGGAATAAATAACGATATAAAATTTACATGCATTTATAATTTCAGTCATATGCTCTCAAGAAGCAAGTCTTAAAAATTATCATATAGACATGTGTTTGTTCTGACATTGTTAGTTTTACAAATTTGATTATTATCTGTACGTTTCATACTTCTTTTGAAGGGTTTAAGATTTGACTGCAGGACCTTCCATATCTGAAAACATAAAACACTGTTCTAGGTATTAAAAATCTTTTTTCCATTGTTAAGTGTACGTCGCTTCAATTTCTGAAGAAACACAGGAATTTTTTTTTCGAATTTCAAATTTCGAATTTCAAAACGAGTTTCATTTCCTAGCTGAATTTATTTTCTTAAATTAAGTTTTATTGATGGCATGTTCGAATTCATTTCCTGTGTAATCTCCATATTGTTACAGAATGATACATTTGTTTGTACATGATCACTAATGTGGAGGTTTCAAGATTTTGAAAGGAATTGTCGTTAACCTAAATCCATGTACAACCCTGGATTTATTGAATGTAAATTGATCTTGGGATATTTTCGTATAATATTTTCAATGAATACTCGATTCATGTTCATTCCCAAGAAACATTGCAGACTTGGCAATGTTGATTGTTCAGTTAGTTTGTTATTACAGTGTATAATGAACAAGGGTGCGATTTACATTTCTTTTATTGTAAAAGAATGATAAACCGATTCCATCATGCCAGATTTGAAAAATAAGACCAGTATTGTGCACACGAATATATTTTTAGACATATAATCAAAGTGACTGAAAATATTGCACTATAAATCATAGTTTTAAAAAACTTTTTTTAGTAGAAGTAAATAGAAAATAATAAAGCATCATTCGGAAATATTCTACATAAAAGTTTAAAAAAAATATCTATGTAATATCACTTGTGAATATACAAAATTATAATCGAAAACGTCTACATTGTTTTGTTAAACACCTCCAAACTCTGAATAATGAATTTAAAAGTTTTCAATTTTACAATAAAAGTGAAGCAAATCTGCTGTACTACCATCGAATCCACTTCTGATAAAATCTGTTTTTATCACAAATAAACAGATTCAAAAGTGTATTTTTATTTGTATATTTTTTTAAAATAATGAGGCTAATATCTCTTTTGTAAAACAGATACATCAGGTATAATTTGAAAAATAAAGAATTTGTGATTCACTTAAAATTTGATTGTTTTGATAAAGATATTGAATAAGGTTAGACTAGACACAGAATAACGTACACCAAAGGATAAATTCATATTATACTTTACAGTCAACACAAGTCCATTTGACACCTTAAAGGCAATAATTCTACTTGACTTCCATCATAAAATTGTATGTCAATCGGGAACCTCTCATTAAAATGAAGTTGTAGTTGAGAAAATGTGTACAGAAAGAATATGAAACATATAAGAGAGGTTCACACAGTGAACAATTTAGTTCATCTGACTTTGACAACAAACAAAAAAAATCATAAATATTTTTCCTACTTTAAATTTGTATTTTTGTTTTCGATTTTGGATACCTACAGATAATAATTGATTAGAAAATTAATTTTCTTGCATTTCATTTCACTCAGATTTCCGTAAAGTTAAAATATGCATGTATGGCATAAGGAAACGTATGGAAAATATAAACTTTAATTCAATACAATTTATTGAAATAGAATTAAAAGAAAGAATTACTTTTATTACTTTTATTATAGAAAAGTTTAGTTGATGATGTATAGAGGTCATGCCTATATGAGTGCAGATAATGGTCCCTTGGCAGCGAAAACCTTACTAGGCTGGATCGTGAATGGACCGCTGGAAGTGACTTCCAATGACAACAGTAATTTGTGTGTATCCATCAATTGCATTGATGCAAGGAGGCTAGAAGAGCAGATTCGTCACCAGTTTAACTACGACTTCAGTGAGAGGACAAATGATGACATACATGAGCCATCCAGAGATGCCAGGAAGTCTCTAGATCTCGTATCGAAGTCTATTTGTTTTGAGGATGGTTATAATCAAATTGGACTTCCATTTAAATCTAATGATGTCAGATTACCAAACAAAAGAAGCAAGCCGAACAACGGTTATCGTCTCTTGTAAAACTATTCAATCGTGATGAAAACATTCACAGAGAATTTTGTGAGTTTATGAACAAGATTATGAAAGAAGAATATGCTGTCAAGGTTCCAACTAAAGATAAAGAACAAGTGGATGGCAAGGTTTGGTACTTTCCGCATCATGGAGAGTATCATTCAAAGAAGAAAAAATTGAGAGTGATGTTTGATTGTGCTAGATTTAATGGCATATCATTAAATGGTCAACCTTTACCTGGACCAAACTTAACTTGTTCACTTGTGGGTACACTGCTAAGATTCAGAGGAGATAACAGTGATGGGAGACATGGACAGTACGTTTTACCGAGTTCATGTTCCAAAACAAGATGCAAGCTTCCTTAGATATTTGTGGTGGGAAGATGAGACGTGACTAAGAAGATTGTAGAGTATCAGATGGTAGTACTCTTGTTTGGCGCATCATCTTCTCCTGGTTGTGCTAATTATGCTCTTAGAAAAACAGCTAGAGATTCTGAAGAACTCTTTGATTTTGAGATCATTAATACCGTGTTTAAGAACTTTTATGTTAATGACTGTCTGAAGTCCGTCAAGACTGTTGATTATGCTATCGACTTAATCAAGGATGTACAAAGACTTCTTACTCGGATTGGGTTTCACATTTCAAAGTGGATAGACAACAACAGAGATGTCATGATGACAAATCCAATCTCAGAGCTAGCAAAAGGAGTCAAGGACCTAGACTTGGATTACGATGCGCTACCGATTGAAAGAGCCTTAGGAGTTTAGTGGTGTGTGGAATCAAATGTGTTTTGTTTCAATATAGAAGTTAATCAGATCATGGCTGAAAAAGTTTCACGTTACGTCACGATCTGGTTGACAAGTACATTTTTCTTAAATAATTAATTAGCATACATTATTAAATCTTCTATCATGCGTATCCGTATAAGTATACGTAGTCGTAAACATATCGAGGTATGAGATGCATCTCCATCCAAATGGCAAAACTATTTAGAAAATGTCCATCGTTATATATATGGTTCTAAAGCAATCCCATCCATTGAGAAATAGCATGAGGTAATGTTTCTGAATAATTGCATAGAGCTATTGTAAACCCCTCTCATTTCGTTGGAGAAATAAAAACATATATAAAATGAGAAAAAAGTAAACTCGTATTTGTTTTCATAGAGTATTTTAATATGTCATTGCATTTTATTTCAAAACATTTATCTGGATCCCCATCTAGATGTCCCTTAACATTAGGACATATTATTGATTCATTCTGTAATTTATAAAAACCATGACGTTGCAAAAAAGTTACCTGGTAACCTTCCTAGTTAAATACAAAAGAAGTAAATATCAACACCATCAATATAACTCTTTATATTCGATACATGATTCGTTTCCATACCATTATGGATATGTGCTTAAAATGTCATTTACCCCCCCCCCCCCCCCCCATTTACCCCTAGTGGGGGGAGAGGCACGCACACAATCCTTTATAGCGCCTGTTGACTTTCTTTCATTCAGTTTAATTTTATTTCAGTGAAATACTTGACAGATACATGTATGCCCCCGCCTTCCCCTTAGAAATTGCTACTTTTGCGCTGTTGCTCTAAGAGCTTGATTCCATTTTGATATGGTGTCCCTCGAAAATTGCTAATGAAATGAAAATGCACTATTTTACTTTGACATCTTTTGTTCTCTTGTTGTTGTACATGTGAAATATAATTTATGCTTTGATATAAAAACTTTCAGAATAGTGTATATATTATCTTAACTCTCTTATTATCACAAAGATAAGAACATTAAGCTATACATTTTCAAAACAAGATTTGACTCATTTTGTTGAGCTACCTTGTTTTCTTTTGAGTTACCTAGTCCATCCAGCTTATTTTTTTTATTTTGACCGATATCGAGCAAGTATAAATAAATAGAGCACACAAATTATATAATTGAATAGAAGAGATTGCTTCAACATATCAAGTAAAAAATCACAGAGTAAAGAAAAAATATACAACACATTAAAAGTATTAAATATCATCATCCCCACCTACCCCCCTCCACCACCCCCCTCAATAAAAAATCGATCCAGCTAGTACACCTTAAAGACACCTTATAGACTTAGAGTCGTCTAAATATTAAAGAAATCTTCAAATAAACTGTAGTTAATTTGTAAATAGAGCAACTTTTGAGATATTTATGGATCCTAAACAAACAGTTCTTCTCTGTTTTTCTCCCAGTATCGATAAGTGTTAATACACTCGCACGAGGAAGTACATTCTCAAGCTCTCTGGAAACCAGGATACGACAATTTAACAATTTAAGGAAATTGGGGACTTCAAAGTGCCTGGAATTTCAAGATACTCAAAGCATCTCTTGAGAATTTTGACCATCAATTAATAAATATGCCAAAAAGAAACATGAGGATGGGAATTTCCAATTCTTTCCAACAGTTTTTTGTTGCAGTTTTGCCAAATCTTTCCCAGTTATAATGATTATGGAAAGAACTTAATTTTTCTTACAAACACCCTACCCTCAATCCCGATAAAAGGTTTATATAAAGTTTGGTCAATTTCTGCATATGTTTTGTCACTTGTCATTTATTGCTTTCTTCCTGCTCCTCTCCCACCGTTAGCCTTGAGACAAACTTTTACTCAGCTAAAAGTTTTAACTCTGATACTTTAACAAACTACAACAGAATGTTATTTACCTGTAGAGTTATTCTAAATTAACTCGAATCCGATATTTCGAAGTGTTATTTTTTCGTCCATGCTTGAGATGAAAACAATTGACTGCAAATATTATTGGGATCGAGATGCCTCTCGTACATATTTGGATACAGATACTCATAAGGATATCTCAGATAGGACAATCGACCTAATTGTAGGAATTCAGACAATTTTTTCTTTCAAACCATCCTTTATCAAAATTTAAACTTAATAACATCATTATTTACAAACTGCATTATCGATGGAATTTTCCGTTATTTAACAGTCATGTCAGAGAATATACAGCGGGTGTGATCGGTGGTGACGGGATGCTTCTTTCTCCAGGGCACCTGATTGCTCCCCTGAAGTTTTAAAGATCGGAGTTTTCTCTTATCTTAATTTGTATTGTTTTATGGACGTTTGAGCTACACACTTTTGATGATGCATTTGTGGTTATAAAAACAATAAAGAAACTTGCTGAACTTTCTTAAAAATTCGGAGACTTTAATTGGAAGAAGTAAACTACTAAAAACAATATCTAAGATACAATAATTGGAGGATACGATTGCAATAACATAATTATTAATACAACTTAAATTAATCGATACACCTTTACATTGTTAGAGTTTTGTCATAAGGTTTTTTTTTTGCTGAACGTATATGAATAGGAACGATTTCATTAAACCTTGACAGAGGGAAAATTGACCTCTCACGATTGACTTATTAAAAACGGCCTTACTCAAAACTCTGTTTTGCATTCTAGTACACGATGTATTTTTTTATTCCTAGAGATCTTATCCCGTGACAAATATGATGAAATTTTCTGGAAAAAATCGCACCTACCTACAGACCCCATGATTTTACCCTGAGTCATGACAGATAAGACAAGGTCCTCCCCCCCTCCACCAAGAACAGATCTGTTATTGCCTCTTTTAATTTAATCGATACTAATTTATGTCAATCTATTTATACAACAAAAATATCGCGCGTGAATTTTCATACTTTTACAAAATCTATGGTTCATTATATACTGACCTTACTTCACGATGGCCTTATGTTCAGGATATCTGTGTAACTACAGTGCCACAATGTTAACATGATCTTGACACGCATGAAATGGAAATTGGTACATGACGTTTTAAGTTCTTTTTAAATATATATACATAATTTAGAACGTAAAAAAAAATTAAGCATTTCCTTATATATAGGAAATCACATATATGTATCGTCAAATTGTTGTTAGGTGTAATATTAACGGAAAATATCATACTGCTTAAGTGCGTTATCAAAACAAAAATTATGTTATAAACTATATTTACAATGAGATCAATTAAATGAAAAAAGAAATATCACTTGTCTGGATGTGAATAAGTCATTACAACAGAGGACGTGTGCTCTTACTTTACAATTATTCTTATTTTACATAATGATGAAATACGGAGGAAACAGAATTTCTCTTTCCATTGAGATAAAAAAACATTTCTTTCTGTTATTAGCTTTTTTGTTTTATTTTTCTTCACATCAGGCTTATAAATGATTTGTTAATTTCCGTGTTAAGAGTAATCAGAGACTTGCGTTTATTATGAAATTTGTTGGATACATTTCACTTGATCTTAATACGCCAGTTTCGAGATTGTAACTCTCCTGCGATAAAGGCGCAACAAGTACCCATTTCAGCATGGAGGTGGGAAAGTTTGCTTATGTATACAAACGTGCATAAATAAATGAACGATGTCTATGGCTTTTAAAATTTATTTAATGTTATAGAAAGATAAAGATGTTAGTCAGTGATGCATTTTATGATTTTATCAAGCTCATCTGTGTTTATTTATAAATCTACTTTCAATTATAGGGTACTTAAAAATGAAATAAACGTCGTGGTCTTCATACAAGTAAAAGATTTTCTTGATTGTACAAACATTCTCTAAAAAGTTAGTGGATTTTTTTAAGTTATGATAAGGTAAAAAATCAATGTGTCATTTAGATTGCCGATATGTAATGATCATGTTTCATGTTTACCGTATTTATTAGAGGTCCATATATCTCTTCCCTCGTCTGAAAAGTCTCACATCCACTGAATTTTCTTTTTGTTCCGAATTTTTTGCTTTAAAAATGACACCTTTACTTTAATTCTGTTGTTCTTCAGTTGAACAGTGCATACTTACGATTATATAGTTACGATAAACAAGTATATCGATGATGCGATATATCCAATAATAAATATCTGTCCCACCTGTCCAAACTCCCCTCCTCAACGAAAGAGCGCACCAAGGGAGATAATCTCGAAATTTGCGTACTCAATCGGTCTAATAATTTATATATAGAATAGAACTTTAGCATATATACAGTATCAACTGTAAATCAAAAATCAACTGATCTGATAAGTTGGATTTTTCACTACCAATTTCTGTCAGTTGTCAAGTATTTCACGTCACCAAAGACAGAGAGTAATATAAAGGGATGCAATTTCAAAATTAATTGTAAGCATTGAAGAAAAACAAAAATGAAATTAGGACTATACCAAAACTTTAGACGTCCGTTTGCGTAATCTGAGTACATTAACGAAACCAAATGTCAGTATACTTCAAAGGAATACGGTTTGTTATATGATAGGCAAAACCTATATATCAATATTGAACTCGGATATTTTCATATTTTGTGAGTCGTCATCCATAAAATCAATATGTTTCACATCATTGTGATTCGACAGAAAGATGGTTGATATTTGAAATACAAATTGTAATGTTATTTATGAAGCACACTGAAATGTTTACAGGTTTTTAAACCGTTCCTGATAAGGAACTCCTGGCGGTTGTGGGCGGTCTACATTGGATCTTAAGTAGTCCTTGAGAAATCTGTTCTTTATCTCGTTATCTCATCAAAAACGGCCAGATATATTATATAAAGTAGGCTATTTTAATATATTATATAACATTTTCAAATCCGGTAATCTGATTCGTCAATACGAAATAATTATTTTTTTTTATAACGACCGCAGAAAGCGAATAATGACTCGCACGAGCTGCTTCATTTTCACTTTTGCTTTAGACAAACATGGAGTATTCTCAAGTTTGCAAGTTGTAGGTGAGGAAAATTTAAAAGATATAGTGAAGAACTCTGAGGCTGAGAATACAAAACAATTACAAGGATATCTGTGAACATTTTTCGGGAATACTTAGCACATACCATTTCATGGTTGAATTCGACTTTTCCACTCGGCGAGCAGAGTTTTGACGCTGTTTACGCGATTACGGAGACTAAAGAAAATAAAGACGAGTGTGTCATGTATGATTGTATCTTATCGTAGAAGACATAGGTATTTATATTTTGTCAGTGCATATAATTTTCTCTGCAAGTGTAAACGAGTGCGATTTTCAATCTGGGGGAGGGGGTAATCGGTGTTATTCGGAAATAGATATCTTGCGTTATTATTATGCTATGGCATATTAATAGCTACCTAGGAACTTAAAGCTACCCAAAGTAGCTATTTTATCTACTTTTTATACTTTCTCATTTTGCGGCCAAAAGACAAAACGGCGCAACATTGCGAACACTATATTTTTTGATACGGTCACACTAAGGATGAATACCACAAAATTTTGGCCAAAAAATGATTACTTCCTGAATCGGCAATTTTATATTAGTTTCTATGCAAAATAGATAATATACGAAGTAATCATTTTTGGCCAAATTTTTGTCATATCCATCATCAGTGTGACTGTATCAAGAAATTTTGTGCTCACCATGTTGCGCCGTTTCTGCATTTGGCAACAAAATGTAAGTAAAGCAGAAAGTAGGTTAAAATAGCTACTTTGGGTAGCTTGAAATACCTAGGTAGCTATTAATAGATACGTAGGTAGAAAAAAGTCTTTGGACTGGATGTGTATGGGTTAAAATTTATAACCGAAACAAGTTCCTCTGAGTAACATTCAATAAATTCTGAAACATTTACATTCAACTTTTTTATGGTTAATACTATCTCTGTAAACATTAGGAAGATATACATTAATTGTATAAATAAATTTGGGAAAATATTATTTATATAATATAATAAATATGGACTCAATGCACGGTCAATATGCATTTATAATGACCCAGGGTAACAGATATTGACATCAGATACAAGGAGTATATCGACCTCGGGCTAGCGCTCTAGGTGTTTGATTGTGCTAGATTTAAAGGCATATCATTAAATTGTTAACCTTTACCTTGACCAAACTTAACATATGGTCTACTACTACTGTTATCTCCTCTGAATCTTAGCAGTGTACCCACAAGTGAACAAGTTAAGTTTGGTCCAGGTAAAGGTTGACCATTTAATGATGTGCCTTTAAATCTAGCACAATCAAACACCACTCTCAACTTTTTCTTCTTTGGATGATACACTCCATGATGCGGCAAGTACAAAACGTTACCATCCATTTGCTCCGTATCTTCAGTTGGAACTTTGACAGCATATTCTTCGTTCATAATCTTGTTAATAAACTCACAATATTCTCTGTGAATGTTTTCATCACGATTGAATAGTTTTACAAGAGGCGATAACCGTTGTTCGACTTGCTTCTTGTTGTTTGGTAATCTGACATCATTAGACTTAAATGGAAGTCCAATTTGATTATGTCCGTCCTCAAAACAAATAGACTTCGATGCAAGATCTCCCACCTGTTATGTTTGAATAGTATCCTGATCAACAAGATATTAAGAGATATTATACAAATATTGACTCAACGTAGGTCAGTCTGCATTTATAATCCCAGGGTGACAGATATTGACCGAAGATGCATGGACTTGCTTCTTGTTGTTTGGTAATCTGACATCATTAGACTTAAATGGAAGTCCAGTTTGATTATGTCCGTCCTCAAAACAAATAGACTTCGATGCAAGATCTCCCACCTGTTATGTTTGAATAGTATCCTGATCAACAAGATATTAAGAGATATTATACAAATATTGACTCAACGTAGGTCAATCTGCATTTATAATCCCAGGGTGACAGATATTAACCGAAGATGCATGGAGTATATCGACCTAGGTAACAGTGATGGGAGACATAGACAGTATGTTTTACCAAGTTCAAAACAAAACAAGATCAAGCTTCCTTAGATTTCTATGGTGGTAAGATGGAGGCATGACTAAGATGATTGTAGAGTATCAGATGGTAGTACTCTTGTTTGGCGCATCATCATCGCCTAGTTGTGCTAATTATGCTCTTAGAAAAACAGCTAGAGATTCTAAAGAACTCTTTGATTCTTAGATCATCAACAACGTGTTTAAGAACTTTTATGTTGATGACTGTCTGAAGTTTATCAATATAATAAATATTATTAATATTATTAATTTAATAAATTATAATATATTATCAATATAATATTGCATAATCTCAGCATCTCTCAATTCAGTATCAACAAATACATGAAATGACATTGTTAACAATTATTGTTAATACCGTTATTAAACACCGGAGGCAGTTGTATACAGTAGGGGGACAAAAGTGTTGAGAAAAAAATGGCGTAATTAAAATAATTTATAGATCCGCGTGTATTAAAAGTCGTGTATTTTTGTTCAGAGTTGGAATTTCGGAAATCCACCTGATATATAAATAGGTCAGTACACATGACGTATAGTATGACGTATATTTCGTCATCTGCTGTAGTTTTGTAGACGATCTAACTCAGTAACAAAATGGAGACGGAGCGTCAGGAAATCTCACAACCCCTGAAACAAGTAATTGTGGAACTTTACTTAAACGGAGAAAAAATGTCAACTATTGCAAGAAGTATCAATAGGTCTCTGGCTTCAGTGTACCGTATTGTACGTAAATATCAAGGCACAGGATCAGTGGAGAATTTGCCAAGATCGGGTCGGCCTCGTTCTATCGACGATCGGGACTATCGGAGGCTCCAGAGGATTGTTAATAGAGATCGGAGAGCACCCTTAGGAGAAATTACAGCGCGATTTAATGAAAACAGGGCAACATCTGTGTCTCAGAAGACTGTCAAACGTAGACTTAAAGAAAATAGTTTCACTAGAGATGTGTATAAGAAAAAAGTTGTGATTAAAAATGTAAATCAAACGAAACGCTTGTCATGGTGTAGAGAGAAGAGATGGTGGAG